CTGAGAAATCAGGTTTACCCGGGGAGCCATCTCTCTAGCCCTCTGTGAGAGTCTTGATGACAAATGTACTTGAAAGAGGAGAAGGGACCTTGAATCACATCATCACTTTGAGTTCCAGTCAATCATCCCTAAGCAGGGATTGGGAACTTGATACCTCTGAAATGTGGGGTTTGCTAAGGTACCAACAACTGCAAATGTTAGTTTACATGAGATCTGGGAAAGATGCTGACTAGAAACAGGTAAAAGGATGGTGTGGCAGGTGGCTGGCTCTCATGGGACACTGTGAAGCTTCATTGAGGCGGGGCAGTTACTGTTGTCAGCATCACTAAGGACCAACACAGAGAAAGCAGGGCTCAGTATACCCACAGTGTGTCTGGCAAAGCTGGATGAGTGGGTTACTCATCAAAGTTGAGAAGGGGTCAGGATTATTATTATTATTATTTTGTTTTTTCCAGACAAGGTTTCTCTGTATTGCTTTGGAGACTGTTCTGAAACTAGCTCTGTAGACCAGGCTGGCCTCGAACTCACAGAGACCCACCTCTGCCTGAGAGTGCTGGGATTAAAGGTGTGTGCCACCAACGCCAGGCTTTATTTTTTAATTAATATTTAAATTAGAAATAGAGAAATACTGGCAGAATGTGTCACTTGCTCCTGCTAAATTTTACCACTAGTAACCCTTACAGTGAATTTCTTTTTGTCATGAATTCCAGATGTCACAGAGTGCGGACAATTTTTCACTTATTACCCCATTCTCTTGTGACCACATCTAGGCTGCAAGATCACATTCTGGGACAGCAGAGTCTTCTTTCTTCCCCATTAACTTGAGAATGCTCTGTGTAGCCCGACACCACTGCTGAGCAGGAGCCCCAGGGATGCAGTTTTTAGGAACTGTCACTCATGCTGTGGTGGGCTTTTCAGTGCTGCAGCTGTCTTTGAGTCACCCATGCTCCTGCAGGTAAGTCTTCCCCCAGCCCCCTGTAAGGAACTCCAATATCCAGCAGACTCACTGTTTCATCAAGCTACGCATGGGACTGACATTCTTACTCTGCCGTCACAACTGTATGTGTAGCCGAGTAGACATTTGCTCCCATTTAACCAGAAAAAGTCACACACCTGTGTATTCTATAGAACATTCACTGTGTTCCGAAATAAGGTTGCTGTGGTAAATATAGTGACCTTAAAAAGTTACGGGTGCATTGTTAAATGTTTCCAAAGATAACACATCATGTGCCAAGAAAGCATTAGGCAATGTAGCACAGATCCCTGAAGATGGCCTGGAAGAGGGATAAAAATGTGGCCAACTTGGGAAGAGCAATTCATCGCGGATGGGAAGAAACATGTCAGTAGATAGACAGGGAGGAACGCTCCTTCAACTTGCACCAGTGGGGAAGAGTGAAGGGAACAGAATGTGAGTTGGACACAGCCCCTGTTCAGGCTGAGTCAAGTCTGCTCTGAACTGAACAGCACCTGGGGCTTCACTTCACCATGAGCTTAGCCTTTACTTTGGAAATGATCTGAATGAAAAGTTCCTCTGTTTTGCCCCTGTGGAGAGTCTTGCTTGGTCTGTGGGTTTCAGTGCTTGGGTGCCTCCGATAGGGAAAAATGTCTCTCTCTGCCTATGTGCTGTGGCTCAGGCCCTTTTTATGCTGCCTGGCCGTCCCATCTGTGGAATGATCGAGGTCACCCACCGCAGATCCCTGATGTTTGACCCAGGTGAAATTTGGAAGCCAGGATGAGAAGCCAGGCTAGACCAGACCCCTCAGAAAAGCCTGTTAGTACTTATATAAAGCAGTGGTTACTTTTCAGCATACTTTGTTTTATCTCCACGCTTGCTTGAAACAAAACCTTCCCTGTTGGTTGGTCTGACAAGATAATAAGAGCTGGCAGTTCGCTTTGGCCAAGGACTCACAGAGGAGACATCAGCAGCGTTTTGTGACTAAGGACCCCAAACATGCCAGTTTCACTGGAGTATTCATTAAGATTGAGAGGGGAATAAAAAAGAAGGAATAAAGACATCAGGGAAACACACGTGCTGGCGTTTTCATTAGGACAAGTGTTGAAAGTCACGAACCCCACCCAGTGCTCTGTCAGCTTTTATATCTTTGTCTTTGACACGAGATCATATCTTCATAAGAAACAGTAGGTAAAGAGGCCGAGAGGAACTGGGAAGGTGGGTGACTGGAAATGGATGCTTCCCTAAATGTTTACTAGTCTTCGGAAAAGCCCATCTGAAATGGCAGCTCTGCAGACTCTGGGAGCCATGCAGAAGAGAACAGCGAGGCTGTTATTAAGCTTTAACATGCCGGCAGCTTTCAGTCTGAGAATGAGGCTTAACTCTATACTTTGAATAACTCAGAGATTTCATTTGTTCAAGTAAGAATCCAGATGAACAATGGAGTATGGGCTAAGATACCATGGCATTTAGGGGAGTTTTGAAGTTGCCTTTCAGAATGAGTCTTCCAGGGGTATACTTAGGTACACTGTAAAGTTAACTAATGTTGTTTCCTTAGTGTTTACACTTTCAAAAAGCAATTCAAAGAACATGCGGTCCTTTTTCTCTTTGGCTGTGGGTTGGTAATGTCATATTGAAAGAACATTATGCTAATGCACCTAGAATTGTACAGTGTGCAGTTGTGTTCATCTAAGCAGTGATGGAAATTGGCAGCAGGCATTGATTTTGTACTCACATCTGCTTCTGGAGACTCTGGGACAATTTCATGACACCTGTTCCTTGGATTCCTCTTTCAGTAAAAATGGAAAACCTCTGTCGTTTCTAGACTAAAAGGTCTGCAATTTCTTTTTCACTGCCGGCCTTCTCTTGCAGCCTGTCATGTTATATTGGGCATAAAGACTTTGTTTTGAGCACCCCAGGCTCTTCTTGACTCTACATATTATTGGAAGTGATGGCAACACAACAACATCCAGATGTTGCTGAGTAACTTTATGTATGGCCCTAATAACAAGCAGTAGAATTAAACTATTAATAGACTGGGCTGTGAATAGCTGCTTCAATGTGAATGTGACAGCATTATGTTAGCTGATTCAGAGATTTCTATAGAGAAGCTTCACTTAATTAAAGACACCAAAGTCAATAAGACTACAGTATCTGCCAGCAGCAACATATTCTCTGTCCGCGGATAGCATGGCTCTAAAACAGTAGTTCTCAACTTTCTTAATGTTGCAACAGTTTAATATAGTTCCTCATGTTATGGTGACCCCAAATCATAAAATTATTTTTTTTGCAAATTCATAATTGTTATTTTGCTAATTTTGTAAATTGTGATGTAAAGATCTGATATCCACCCCCTGTGAAAAGGTCTTTCACCTCCAAAGGGGTCCTGACCCACAGGTTGAGAACCACTGCTCTAAAGAAAGCCTGGGAGAGATTAAAAGAAAAAAAGCTCTATCCAGTGTAGGCGAGACTCTTATTCCGCATGCCATTGTGTGTTTCCCGCTTTCATTTAAAACTCACAAACCTTGAGGAGACGATTTTCTGTATCCATTGTGTTAGAAAAAAATACTGATGTCTAGAGTGTCCTTTCTCCTTCAGCAAGGCTGGAGGGGCTATTGGCATCTTTTGAGAGGCTTCAGACAGTTCAGTGAGGAGAAAGGAGAAGGGGGGCTTTTGTGGGTGGTGTTCAGAAGTACTTCATAAGAAATCTAGTGCAGCAACTAAAGTATTTATTTAGCCTAAACCGCAGCTTCTTTGAAGTCTCAGTGCAGATTGTTCCTGGTCATGTGGACTTTTGTGTGTGTGTGTGTGTGTGTGTGTGTGTGTGTGTGACATGGGCCTGAATGATGTCATTGTGATATTGGCTTTCGGTACTTAGATTGGCCAATTTGCAGAACCAATGATTTTCCAAAGCCATCATCTCCAAAGTTCCCTTCCAAGTGTGACAAGACAGGTTATTACATTAATTTCACTTTGAAAATGCCAGGGAACTCTTCCCCAATTAACATTAAAAGCAAAACATCCCCCAAATAGGCACAGAACATGCTGCTAGTGTTTGCCTGTTTCCATCACCTCATACCTTTAACCCCAAAGTCTAATATTTTCTGTCATTTGTTGGGTTAACTGAGATGAGACCCTATTGTCATGGATTTTGGTTCAGGCATTACTCCTGCATCTGTTTAGTAGAGACCATTGGCCTTGGAATTGATTCTAGAAAGGTCCTTATAAAGGTTATCAAAACAACCCCATTTTGTCAAATGTTCTATTTTAAGCAATCTGGATGACAGTGGAAGGTAGATGTGATTATCTGAAGTAACCCAACTGTGAAAACTGGTTACCATTAGCTATTGTCTTATGTGAGCACACAGAGAGCTGGGTGGGAAGTGCCTTCGACATTTGCAGGTGCTTGATAAACACCATTATTGACCTGAACTGTTATGTTTTTGGTTGTGAGCCTTTAATGGCTGAGCCATCTCTCCAGCCAGACCTACGCTGTTATACCTCTGAAACATGACACACTCTTTGTTTGATGCTAAACCATGACTTAGTTGCTGAGCATACCACGAATCACATTTAGTAGCTCTTCAAGTTTTTCTTTTAATTTCACATGAAAGGCTGTAACTTCATTGTTTCACAAATTCATATTGCTATACATATGGCTCTCAAAATGCATTGTATAACTATTACTGCTATTAGTTAAATTTCAAAATTTTACCAGCAGCACACTCTTAATAAGTGATGAGTAGAGTATCCTTCACTAGATAGCCTTGATTATCTCTGTGGGGGGGTCTCATTCTGACATGGCTGACTGCATTCTCCATGTTTCCTAGGCTCCCTCACACTCCCTAGCAGCTCAAAGGAAGGAGTGAGGGTCTCTGTTTAACACTCCTAGCTTGTGTGAGGTTGACTCTGTTGCTTCTATTATAACCTTACTCTGCTGACTTCTATCATTTTAGATTTGAAATATGGAAGATTTCCTAGCCTTGTGACAGCTTTGAGGAATCAGTGTCTTACCCAGAGGGAACCGAGGGAGGATTATGGTACTTACAGGTGTCTTCTTCTTCCATAGAAATGTTGATCACATAACAGGCATACACAAACCCAACCAGCTGGAAAAAAAAAGTGTATGTTTTTATGGTTTGCACCAATATATTAAATAAATTGAGAATTTGTAATAGGATAAAAATTTACATCTGAACAATAGTTGCTATTTAAAACTTTTTCATTTTTCAGAAATCTAAATAGTTTTCTAAAAAAATAGAGATAAATGAGAAGTAAAAACAATTCTGAATACTTCACTTAGACTTTGATTTAGAATATAAACAGGATCACAAATTATTCCTAATATATACTTTACTTTTTTGTATTTATAGATCAATTTGTACTATATTCATTATTTCTATAACTGTTTTAATGTTTAACAGGCAGGAAAGGACTAAAAACATGTTGCACATAAACAGCAATCATCTCCTTAATTTAAAATACTGTGAGAATGTAAATTCTGTTGAATATTAAATTGTTTGTTAATTACATCATAAGAAAATACATTAACTTGCATTAGTGGCGAACTGTAGTAGTAGGAGAGAAAAATGTATTCTTTGATGAGTGTCCTAAGGAACAACCATAGCACAGAGAACCTTGCCACTTGTACTTTTTTTTTCCCCTGAACTTCCCTGAATTATGATTTCTGTTCTGCACAGTCAGAGACACAACTATTCTCAGAGGTCAAAATTGTCTATTAATCTCAGCTAATCTCGGGTTCTTAAGTAGGATTAAAAACAGCTGCCTCTCTGGCTCTTGTAGTTGGTCATTTTGCCCTTTTCTGTGTGGTCAGAGATTGTTTCCTCTTCCTATCTTCATTATAAAATGCCTCTGAAAAAGAAACATTGTGGCAGCCCCAGTGTCAAAGGCTTCCTACTGCAAGGGATACCTGTGAGATATGCAGCTGTCCGAGGTGATACCTAAACCAGGTTTCTAATCCTACCCCAGGCAATGGTGATAAAGGTCAAGAAGTCCTGAGAGGCTGACTGAGAGGGTGGGGAGCCAAGGCCTGCAAGTGCCTCCAAAGAGGCTTTCTACCAGGGAAGATGCTCAGGAGAACGATGTTGGAACTCTGGGTACCTAAATGTGAGCAGTCTGTTAAGTGGTCAGCTAGCAACTGGTAATGCTAGACACGTGGATGATGAAGAGAAATCTTGAAGCGGGAGTGGAACGAAGTTTCAAGTCACCCACAAAATCACTCTATGGGGAATACAGCAGCCTGTGGAGATTGTCACATCCAGGGAGTGTCCTCTTCCAGCTTACGTGTAAGGCAGTCATGTTCAACCCTCACTCCCTGTATTTATCACTACTTTATCCCCTGAATAACCAAGCAAAGAGGAGTTGAGACTAAGGCAGCTAACTGTATGGCCACTTTTTACTGAAGACCTGGGTACTGAGATGGAGCTTCAGTTGAGACGCTGAGCGTTCACATGAACATGGTTGAGATAATTACCTACAAAGGAACCCAAAGAAGCTGTAAACTCAGCTTGAAATATGTGGGTCTTTAAATGTACTTGAAGAATGAACAGAACTGCCTTTTAATTGGCTTCTACCAAACACAGCTTGTGCAGGAAATTAGCTACAAGCTGAAAAGCAAAGTGACCCATGACCACCACTACAACAGTTGTTGGAAATAAATCTCATAATCTTCTACACATTCTCAAGTCACAGTGACATTCCCATGACCCAAGAAATACTAAGTCATGCATGCCTACATAAATATGCACCATTTGAATGTATTACAAAGTACAGTACTCCATCAAGTCATTTTATTATATTTCATATAGGAATATTAATGTTTTTTTCTCTTGTGTGTTTATTCCTATTTCTATATTTTGATTCCTAAGGCAGAATTATTTTTTTCTGAATTATTATAGTAAAATAACATTTTTTCTCTTTTTAACCGTTTTTTAATTTTAAATTTTAATTTTAAATTAAATTTAATTTAAAATTTAAAATTTTAATTTTAAAACAATCTTTAAAACAATCCAAGTTCCCATTCCTTCCCCTCCTCCTGATCTCTCCACCTAACCCCCACCCCACCCCCATCTATTCCTCAGAGTGGGTAAGACTTCCCATGGGACTCAACAAAGTCTGGAACATCTTTTTGAGACAGGATCAAGGACTCCCCTCCCTATATCTAAGCCGAGTAAGGTATCCCTCCAGAGAAAATGAGCTGCAAAAGGCCAATTCAAGCACTGGGGATGAATCTTCATCCGCCTGCCAATGGCCCCACAGAGTGCCCAAGCCACACAGCTGTCATGCACACTCAGAGGACCTAGTTTGGTTCTATGCAGGATTCCCTGTTGTCAGTCCAGAGTCAGTGAGCTCCCACTAGCTCAGGTCAGCTGTTTCTGTGGGTTCCCTAAAATGGTCTTGACCCCTTTGTTCATATTATCACTCCTCCTTGTCTTTGACTGGACTCTTAGAGCTCAGCCCAGTGTTTAGCTGTGGATCTCTGAATCTGCTTCCATCAGTCACTGGATGAAGGCTCCATGATGATAATTCAGGTAGTTACTAATCTGATTAAAGGGGAAGGCCAGTTCAGACACCGCTCTACTAATGCTTAGGGTTTTAACTGGGGTCATCCTGTGGATTCCTTGGAATTTCCTTAGTGCCAAGTTTCTCATTAGCCCCATACTGACTCCTTCAATCAAGATATGTTTTTCCTTGCTCTCCCTCTCCATCCTTCCCCCATCTCCACCCTCCCTTTTCCTCGTGTTCTCTCCATTTCCTTTCTCCTCTCCTTCCATTTTCCTGTGTCTCCCCTCCCTACCATGCTCCCAATTTTCTCAGGAAATCTTGTCCTTTTCCTCTTCCCAGGGGGATCCATGTATGCCTCCCTTAGGGTTCTCCTTGTTACCTAGCTTCTCTGGGGCCATGGACTGTACGCTGGTTATCCTTTGCTTTATATCTAGTATCCACATATCAGTGAGTACATACTGTGTCTGGTTTACCTCACTCAGGATAATTCTTTCTAGTTCCATCCATTTGCCTGCAAATTTCATGATGTCATTTTGTTTGTTTGTTTTATATGCTGACTAATACTCCCTTGTGTAGATGTACCACATTTTCTTTGTCCATTCTTCGGTTGAGGGGCATCTAGTATATTTTCAAGTTCTGGCTATTACAAATAATGCTGCCATGAACATAGTTGAACATATGTTCTTGTAGTATGAATAGCATCCTTTGGGTATATGGCCAAGAGTGGAATTGCTAGGTCTTGAAGTAGACTGATTCCCAATTTTTTGAGAAACCAATATACTGATTTCCGAAGTGGCTATACAAGTTTGCCCTCCCACCATCAATGGAGGAGTATTACCCTTACTCCACATCCTTTCCAGCATAAGCTATCATCTGTGTTTTTGATCTTGGCCATTCTGACTTGTGTACAATAGTATCTCCGAGTTGCTTTGATTTGAATTTCCCTGATGGGTAAGGATGTTGAGTACTTTCTTAAGTGTCTTTTAGCCATTTTAGATTCCTCTATTGAGAATTCTCTATTTAGTTTTGTGCCCCACTTTTTAATTGGATTATTTAATGTTTTGGTGACTAGCTTCTTAAATTCTTTGTATATTTTGGAAATCAGCCCTTTTTAAGATATGGGGTTGGTGAATACCTTTTCCCATTTTGTTGGCTGCTATTTTGACTTGTTGTCTGTGTCTTTGCCTTATAGAAGCTTCTCAGTTTCATGGGGGGGTCCCATTTATTAATTGTTGATTCAGTGTCTGTCCTACTGGTGTTATGTTCAGGAAGACTTGAGTTTTGTGCATGACAATAGATACAGGTCTATTTGAATTCTTCTACATGTTGGCATCCAGTTATGCAAACAGTAAGTTAGAATTATTATAGTAAGATAACATGTATATTTTTGTTGCTATTGACTTGGTTTTTAGAATGTTTGCTTCATTTTGTTCCAACTCATTCCCCCTAATTGTTTTGAAATATTCAATATAATAAAAAGACATAATTATTATGAGTCAGTTAAAATGATAAAAAAAAATAAGCTGCAGCATCTCTTATTCTACCTCAGTAGTAACTAACTCACCATGTCATTAGTAGTGGAGGCTATTTGTTCCTAGAATGTATGAATTCATAAAATAAAATACCTTCTCTTGTAACAGCTTTGCTTCATTAGTCATGTAAATGATATGCAGTTTCTTTGCCAATTTAGGAATTTTACATTATTAGTAATTTGTTTAAGATTTATTTTTTATTCTTGCAAATATGTGTGTATGTGTTTGTGTGTGTGTGTCTATATGAGTGTATGTGCACCACATGTGTGCAGGTCCCTGTATGTGCCAGAAGAGGGCACCTGTAACAGGAGGTATAGATTGTTGTAAGTCACCATGTAGATACTGGGAACTGAACCCAAATCCTCTGTAAAAGCAGTAAATGCTCTTAACCATTGGGACATTTCTCCATGCCCTATTCTTATTATTTTGCATGATGTTTTATGGTCTAAAATGTTTGGTAAATACATTGGGATTTATTATATATATATATATTTTTTTTTAGAAAGTAAAGGCAACTTATCAACATTGGAACAGTTTTCTCGATACTTTATATGGTGGGAGACATCTGCCAATGGACAGGTGCCTAGCTGTTTCTGTTCCCTCTGGTTGGGAAGTGCATATTGCTGACCTACATATATACTTATGCTTAAACCAGGAACTCTCTTATGCTTGTTTTATGTTGCTGGTATAGTAAAGTGACATAAATAACAGAAAGTTGTTTTCTTTGCTGAAGCCTGGAATAGGCTTCATTGAGCTAATGTCACACATCAGCAGGGCTGTAGTCCTTCTAGAAGGTCTTGCAAAATCTGTATCCTTGCGTTTACAGCTTCCATAAGATTTCTGTATTCTATGACTAGTGTCACCATCTCTCTATCTTCAATGCCAGCAACCCCAGGGCAGATTTCTTTTCATGTTGCTATCACTTTATTTTCCCTACTCTTCCTCCTTGTTCTACTTTTCCTAGTATTGAACACCCATGAACAACTTGGACAATATCCACATTGTTAAGCCTGTCTGATTATCACACCCACTTTCATCCATACACTCAAATT